AAGGTCATGTCCTAGGAACCTCAAGCCTCGACCTTAGTGAGTTTACGCACAGGTTAACACACCCTGGGAATTTGGTTTCTCTAGATCACTTAGCTACTGAAATCTCCGGGGGTTAAATTGCCCCCCACACCACCCGAGGAAAGGGTATCCAATCAACCACCCGGGCGCGTGATAAAGTATACGTATATAAAGTATATATATATATATATATATATATATATATATATATATATATATATATATATACATAAGGTATGCTATTAAAGTATATAGTATGGAGTTATAGATGTGAGTTAGCTTATTCCAGAAAACTTAACGTTCGCCTCAATGCCATCAAATGCGAAACTACATTCCGTTTGAGTACATATGAGCTATTCACAGAGGCCCTGTTCTCAAAGGAATGCGGTGAAAACTTTTTAAGAACTTTTAAAAACTTTTCAGCGTTTATCTTCTAACTACACACTTGTCATCAGTGATTTCAGTTGTTTGTTATTGCGATATCAGTAACCATTATGTTGACACATTAATATTATTTCATTAAAATTAGCAGTTTAGCTCACTATACCAATGGTTCGTGTTTTTATGGACAAGCATGTTTCAATATATCTCCGGTGAACGGTCACGACCATCGCTCAGCCGCAGCGCGACACCTGCGCCTGAGTATTGCTGTAGTCTGATCGTCTGCATTGACCGCGTCACGACCGGACTATCCGCGTGGTTTGCGTCGGTGTGCTTTGTTGCCCCGCACGTCGGGGGGTTGCGGGGCGGCGCGGCGCACCCGGTCGCACGTCGGCCGATGCGCAACTGCATGCGGAGTCATGAGCATCGTTAAATGAAACAATTGGCGTAGAAGACAGCTTGTCTAAATCGCGCGAGAAACTAAATACGTTATCAACCCCTCTCATCTTGCCATCACACTGTAATTTCTGGAACACTGTCAGAAACATGATCGGACTTTTTACTGAACATGCATCCCATTTCGAACCATGGTCGTGTCCTGGGCGTTGTCTGGACGCATTATGGTTACTCCTGGCTGCTTGAAGCCACGTAGCAGCCGTCGGCGTGCTGTGCTGGGGCCATGACTGGATCGCGCCTTTCCGGCTTTAAGCGTGACCGTGTACCTTTTGACACAGTCGGTCCGCCCTGCCGTTGAGCTAGGGCCGCTCTTAATGCCATCGAATGAGAACAAAAGACGGCGCGGGCCGTCCGCCGGCTGCCCCTGCGGAGGACGCCATCGGGCTATTAGGTCAGTAGAAGCGGTCATGCAGGTCTGTCACAGGCTGCCTCGTCATATCCGCTAAGCCATTAAGCTCAACTGTTGGCAGCCTGTGAGCCCCGATTATGCCTTGGCCGTACCGGGTGGCGGCGTACGCGGCCTCCCTCCATCAAACCAGCTAGTATGCCTACGTAAGTAGGCTGCCACACCCATGGCTTGTCACCCTGACGCAGTGGCGCGTCTGCCTTAAGGCCCCATCCTGCCAAAGTGCACTGAGGTCCCACGCTGCCAAACTGCGCCTAACACCAAGCATGCCATCAGCTGACCGATTTATGTGCGAAAGGATCGCACTAGGGACTCTTCGCGCGCTTTTGGCGTCACCAGTGTACCGCCAGGCGACATCATCGACCAGTCGTATCGGTGCCGCTCTTCCCAATTTCAGCTGTGAAAAGTGGGACGGCCGGTGGTCTGTGGATCCCTCCAGGCAACCACCGTCCCCAATAACCAGCAGCGACCCCAGCTTGGCCGTGGCGAACTCCAGCAAACTCCGTGAACACTCTGTCACCTGGTTGTAGAGTCATGCCCAGAGAACTGTTGTGTTTTTTGTGCAAGGTGCTGGATTGCATCTGTAGCAAGATTTCATCATTCTCAACGATGTCATCACAGTATGAAGTAGCTCACACTAGCGTAAGTCGCCGCTGGCTGCAATTTAGATATTTTAATTCGGTTGGTATCTGAAACACGCTCATCACGCCTGGGGCTGCTGACAACTTGCTGTTTAGCCGTCATCGTTTTGAGCAGCCATTGGCATAAGACCATGTTTGAAGTGCTGGGATGTTGGAGCTTGAATGATTGGCGATTTCTCTTGCTTTTAGTTAGCAGAATATATATGCATATACATATATATATATATATATATATATATATATATATATATATAATATATATATATATATAATATATATGTGGTGTGTGTGTGTGTGTGTGTGTGTGTGTGTGTGTGTGTGTGTGTGTGTGTGTGTGTGTGTGTTGTGGTGTGTGTGTGTGTGTGTGTGTGTGTGTGTGTGTGTGTGTGTGTGTGTGTGTGTGTGTGTGTGTGTGTGTGGTGTGTGTGTGTGTGTGTGTGTGTGTGTGTGTGTGTGTGTGTGTGTGTGGTGTGTGTGTGTGTGTGTGTGGTGTGTGTGTGTGTGTGTGTGTGTGTGTGGTGTGTGTGTGTGTGTGTGTGTGTGTGTGTGTGTGTGTGTGTGTGTGTGTGTGTGTGTGGTGTGGTGTGTGTGTGTGTGTGTGTGTGTGGTGTGTGTGTGTGTGTGTGTGTGTGTGTGTGTGTGTGTACATATATGATATTCAACTGGAGAATTTCCCGTACTCATTTCCCTTTCTCGCGTCTTAATGTTGACAGAATAGTGAGATACTGCATAATCACGCGGTGTAGATATTGTAGATATTCTACATAGCAGCTGACTGGACGCCATTGCTTGAATTAGGTACGATATGTTTCGCCCTAGATAACTCTAATATTCCATTTGATGTCCATTGTGGACATTGGCCCAGACTATGGAAACCATTGTAAAACACAGATGACATCATTATCAGCGGTATACTGGCACGGTGCTGAGTCATAACGGTACCACGGCGAGCTTTTGCGGCCTAGCTCTCTACCTGACGTGGACGGGACAGGCTGCACGCATATCTAAAAAAGGTGCGTCTATTTGACGTCAGCACTTGCCTGGATACCTGCACGTCAGCACTGCGGTGCCGGAAATGGGTGCTTTCGAGGACTGCAGCGCCGCGGTCGGTGGCAATGGTCGCAACTTGATAGCCACAAAACTGCTGGGGGTGGGCGATACGCTGATAAAACTGGTCGAGAGGGTCGTAGACGGCAATAGGGCTGTCTGGGGAGGCCGTTGCATGACGCGTCACAGCTTACGTTGAAGGCGAACTGGCAGGCTCAACGGGCGTTAATGGCGGATCAGTCGTTACAGCTCGTCGTGGTGAAGATACGCCCGCTGCAGTACTGGTGGCGCAGGCCGGTTGTCACAAGTAGTGACGGAAACCAGTGGTGCACACCGCTGGTGTTGGTGATGGGCACGCTGCCACAGTTAGTGTTGGTGACGGGTCCCTATCACACTTGGTGTAGGTGGTGAGCACGCCGCCACAGTTGGTGTTGATGACGGGCCCGCCGCCACAGTCGGTGCAGGTGACGGGCCCGCTACCACAGTCGGTGCAGGTGACGGGCCCGCTACCACAGTCGGTGCAGGTGACGGGCCCGCTACCACAGCTGGTGTAGGTGACGGACCCGCTACCACAGCTGGTGTAGGTGACCAGCCTGGCATGGTACCGAAAGATCCTGCAAGAACCAAGACCCTGCATAACATTGTGCCAAGAGGTTCAGTAAGAACCAAGAGCTAGACTGGTACATTTTGGAGTTCGGCAAGGACCAAGATAAAGCGGAGGATAAAGCTGAGGTCCATCAAGAATCAACCCGATATGGCCTCAGCAGTCACAAACACAGGTGATCGCAAGCTTCCATGACAGTATCTTAGCAAAAACACCAGAGAGCACGTGCCATAACACGCAACACAACGGTAGAATCTGACCCAACCTGAACTAAACTATTTCGTCAGCTGTTTTGTTTGTATTCCTTCTGGTTAAGGTAAAGTAAGGTAAGGTAAGTTCCGTTACATGTCCGCAGGGGCTGGGCCACCTGAGGTGCTCCATAGGTTCCATTCCATAAGATAGCGTTATAATCTGCTGTATTCATGCGATCTATGATTCAAAATACATTTTACAATACAAAATCCATTTTGATCGCGTTATGCAGCTTAAACGTCAGCTGCAGTTTTTGCTCTGGTCATTACATTTGACATGGACTTATGCTATGAGCTGTGACTCACTCGCGCGCGCGATCTGCACCGTTCACGCCGGCAATTATTCCGATTACCACCACAATGGCTAGCACACATCACGTGCACTGTCATTGTTGACGCAGGCACATCGGTGTACGGTACACGTCACTTGACCGGCCGCCGCCGGCCAATGCGCCGCAGATGGGCTCTGCTGGCGCGCGCTCTACAGCGTTCACGCCAGCAATCGTTTGGGTTTATACCACCATGGACAATGGCATGCACTGCGAACTTATGACATGCACTGTGACTTACGCACGCGCGCGATATGCACCGTTCACACCGGCAATTGTTCCGACTCACACTAAAAGGAATGACGTACATCGTGCGCACTGTCAGTGTTGACGCAAGCACATCAGTCGAGGGTACACGTCACGTGACCGGCCGCCGCCGGCCATTGCCGTCGCAGATGGGCTCCGCTGGCGCGCGAACTGCACCGTTCACACCGGCAATGGCTCGGATTTACACCACAATGAACAATGTCATGCGCTGTGACACACACACGCGCGCGATCTGCACCGTTCACGCCGGCAATCGTTCGGATTTACATGATGAACAATGGCATGTAGTGCGAATTTTTTTACATATACGGTACAACATGAAGTGCACTGCACAGTAAAAGTGCACTAATCAAAGGACGTTGCAGTTTTGAGGGTGGTAACAGGTATCACACTGGGGGGGGGGGGGGGGGGGGGGTGCTGCCACTGCCGCGGTCGCGTTCACTGCCGCAGGACCTCTCGGTAAACCACGTTGCGCGTGACTGGCATTTCGATGCCGGCAAAGCTGCCCGCATGAGACATGAAAACATACAGCTGCCCGTGTGTGAACACGGGGGCGGGCATTGCGGGCATCCTGTTGTCATTGCGAACGCCACGCTCACGTCACGTCACACACAGCGTGCCGATGATCGAGTTGGGTGCGTCGAGATTACGCATGAGGAGGACTGGCGCGCCGGCCTTGAGCCGGATACAATGTGCCGGCGTGCCAGAAAGCTCGATGCCGTTAAGAACCTCGGTGGCCAACGGCACCGCGCCAGGGTCGGACATACTATCTACGCTCGTGTACACGTGCCCCGGCCCCGGCGGACGGTCAATGACGTGGTCATTGATTCTTTTGACGCCGGCATTGAACACGGTGAGGATGGCCCGCTCTTCGAACCACTCTGTGTCGCCAATGTTTTGCGACAGGTCGGGGTAAATCCAGGCTGCCAACTCAGCCAAGGACCGCGCCGAGCTGCGCACCGCCGGTAGCAGCACAACATGGTCCTCTGTGTAGGGGCACAGGGGCAGCTGGCTGGACCCCAGCCGGCAGAGAAAACGGGTGTACTCACCCGCCTCGGCGTCCCCCTGCAGCTGCGCGCGCATATTGGTGCGCAGCGTGAGGCACGTCACGTGCTGCCACAGGGGAGACGACTTGAGACACGCGTCAACAATGTGACACCTGCCACCGCCCCTGACAACCGCTCACGCACGTGGCGCAGCGCCGCGTCGACGGCCTTCACTGCCCGCCGGTGCACCATTGCCGCCTCATCTCACACCAGCAGCACGCAGCGTCTGAAATCGTCGGCGGCCGGTGAGCTGTTGCGCAGGTCGCAGGTGGACGCGTCGTGCAGGTGGAGTGGGATGCTGAAGCGACAGTGGGCAGTCATGCCGCCATCCAGGAGGCTGGCGGCGATGCCGGACGACGCCACGGCGATGGCCTTGCCGCCGGCGCCTGGCGCCGGCGACGCCGTGGTCCTAGGTGGCGGTGGTGGCGGAGGACCCATAGACGGGCCTCTCTGCGAGTCGGAGTGGCCTGAGGGAGCTTCCACACGCTTTCGGGGGGGGGGGGGGACTACCTCCCCCGTGGGAGCAGGTCCGGGGCCCGCACCTCACAGCCGACTGGCTGCCTTCGCCATCTTCTGCTCCTAAAGGCATGTACACTCTGCCTAGCGCGTCCGTCTCTCCGCCTCATGGCGCTTAAGGTTGTCCAGTTTTCGGCCCATCGTGCCACTCAGTGTTGTAGGACGTGATGCTCCTGGGGAGGACGGCTGTGAAGCCGGTGATCTCGTGCTTACCGGCAAAGACCGGGAAGTTCGGCCCCGGCGGACTACGGTCCACTCACTGCTTTCCGCCGGTGTGGGGTGAGGCGGCGAGGTAACAACTGGCGAGCTGGCCTATGTCTCAGAGGGGCCACAGGGTGCCATCGAGAAGGGGGACGATGTTGCCGATGCTGTGGCGTGCACCTGAGACGCCGGTACAATCGACAGCCCGAACGATGTAAGCAGTTTACTGAACTGCGTTCCAGTCATCTGGTCTAAGGAGATCTCAGGTGGGACAGGATCCTTAGTCGCTGTGGCATATGATGTCTTAGGGTGGCTCAGTTCATACAAATCCCTTGCTTCCCGAAATGAAATGTTCTTCCCGGCTTTCAGTGCGATGATCTCCTTGTGTCTGGCTTACGCCGGGCATGCACGATCGAAACTTAAGTGAGGTTTCTGGTTCTTCCTACAGTTCACACACCATCGGTTCGCTGCAGTGCACTGATCACTCGGGTGCTCCGGTGAAGCACACTTACCACATGCTGGCTGGTTGCAGCAGAAGTCCTTTGTATGTCCAAACATTTGGCACTTAAAACATCTCATGGGGTTCGGCATAAAAAGAAGCACCTTCACCTTCACATAGCCTACTTACTTCAGATGGTATGTCAGGACGATTAAAAGCCAGCGCAATGTTGTTCGTGGGGACCAGCTCCGCACCCCTGCGCACCTTGATGCGGCGAGCATATGTCACCCCGAACTCAGCGAGACCGTCGACTATTTCCTCATCACTGACATCTCTCAGGTCAAAACAGTTGATGATACCCTTTGACGAGTTCTTTGTCCTATGGACCTCCACAGACATCGCCACTGACATGTCCTTTTGCCCCTCCGCATCCCGCACACAGTACACAAATATATCCGAGGTCCTGGCCCGTTCCGCCTCCTCTCCGTTCTGGAACTCAACATCGATTCCACCGTCCTCGAGCTTATCGCATCGGAACACTATTCAAGTCTTACGTGTTCTGTCTGCCCAGACCAGACACGAGCGCTGTGAGACGGCAACTGTATTAACCCGCGAGGCGAGCGGGCGGCGCCGACCCCGGCGGGCGGCGCCCCAGGCAGTACTCCGCCAGTCGGGGCAGCGGCGTACCAAGGTGCAGCAGCACTGCCGGCGCGAGCAGGGGCGGCCTCAGGCGCACGCCAGTAACATCATGATACAAGCACCTTTCCAAACTGATCACACCCATTTCGCCTTTGAAAGCTTAAGAAAATCAAGATTCGAGGGGTAGGCGCTGACGCACTACCACCTGTAGCCTCAGTCCGCCCCTCTTTCGGGGTGCAGGTGTTTTTTTTAGATGAAAGTTGTCATGCATGTAACAGTTTAGCGTGCGACACCGAGGCTCCACACCCACCTCGGAGCCCAACTGGGGGACGACCCACTCACCCAGGGGGTGGTGGTGCCGCCAGGGCTACCCCGGCGCTACACGGGGCGAACGATGCCTCCCACACGGCCAGGTGTAACCGGGGAGACCCCTCCCCGTCCTGACCGGGGTTCAGCGCCGCCGCCCCTTAGCGGTAGCGGGCCCGTCCTTGACCCCTTAAGCCGCTGCGCGCGGCCAGGCGCCCCAAGCGGAGACCCGCACAGACCACCCAGCACTCAAGCAAGGAGCACCCAACCGCAACGCGAGCGACAAGTCGCTAGACCCGTGTGGGGCCCCACGGGCCCCCCACGCCCCCGGATATCCTGGCCAAAGTGGAGTGTTGGGACGCACTGTGACTGACCCGCACGACGCGCCCCTCGGCCACCAGAATCCGATCAACCCGGGGACGTGGGCGAGGGGGCACGGGGGCTGGCTTGGAGCGCCGGCCGGCTGCGGCAGGCAGACGTCGGCCAGCATCTGGCCGCTGAGGCGGCGCAGATGACGACCGATGAGGCGCAGGGTCGCGTGGTAGATGAGCCGCATGCCAGGCTCGTGTTCGGTGTATTGGGTGTTCCCGCTACTGCCGTCGGCTTCGTCGATGCCTTCGGTGTCGCCGACGCCGCCGCCGCCGCCCACCCGCGACAGCCGGTGGCGCACGTCCTCGGACATGGCGTGCCGGAAGGTGCGCCACAGCCGCAGCAGATCGCAGCTGGCACGGTCTTCGACGCCAATCACGGTGAGCAGCCGCCGCAGCTGGCGGGGGAGGGCGACGACGGCCGCCTCCTCCATGGCCCGGTGCCAGTGCTGGCCGTTTTCCAGCAAGCCGTGTACCGAGCCTGTACCCATGAAGGTGGCGCTCACCTGGCCATCCACCGTGCGCAGCTCCTCGTAGGAGCGCGGCCCACGCACGTTGTGGAGGAGCAGGCGCAGGAAGAACGCCTCCCCGGCGCGCGGGCTGGCGGTGTAGACGCGGCCGATGGCTTCAGCGGCGAAGATGCCGGCAACGTCCAGCGTGCCTCGGCGGCGCCGACGCCAGCACCGGGCTCCCGTCTGCCACGTGTAGTAGCGCGGCACATTGTGGCAGAGCAGAGTCCGGGCAAACTCGTCCTCCGCGCACCGCTTGAAGAGGCCAGTGGGCTTGGTGTCGGCGCCAGCGTTCTCCGTCACTTGACGCGGGCTGTTGACGCGGGCGCGGAAGCGCAGCGGTTGGTCGTCGCCGCTCAGGTGGACGGAAAGCTGTTGCGCTGGCGGCTGGTGCCTGTGGACAGGGTAGCCGAAATGCCGCCACGCCATCTCCACGGCGTTCAGGTAGCGGCCCTGCTGGTAGGTGGCGATCTCGTCCACCACCTCGTCCCCAGCCGACACCCAGAACATCACCTGGTCTCCGCCCTTGGTGACATACTTGATGACGTACCGTATGCACGTGACGGCGTGGGTGATGATCTCCATGTTGACATGGTTGCAAAACGCGTTTTTCAATATGTCGCTTGTGCTCCAGAATGTCGTGAAATATGATGAACCAACCGGAATCTGTCAGCGCTACTGTTCACGTTGTTTACATTAGTTGCCTAGAAACGCATGTATGAAGATACCTGCCAGAGGTGATAGTGGTGATCCAGCGCGGCCATATATTTACGAAATCTCTACACAGTAGTGTACGCGGGGGCGGCCGGAGGAGAAGGGGGGGGGGGGGGGGGGTAGAGACTGGGGAGTGTGCCCCCCTCCTCACAGACGCATCAAGTCCGAGGGGCCCTATGTACCAGTCGCGACCAGCGATCAATAAACCTATGGAGGGGTCCGAAGGTCTAACCAGGGGTCGTAATGGCTGGGAATAACCGACAAAGGCCCGCAAGATGGGCCCTGAAATGCCAGCTGAAGGGAATCATGCGTCGATCAGGCTCCAGAGAGAGGAGGAATCGGCCCGAGCTCTGAATGCGCCTCTGGGGGTTTCTGGGGTAACCACCAATACTGAACAAAGGACTCCGCGTCGGTCCGGGCGCTCCCCATTGCCTGTTAAATTTCAAGTCACTCTAAGGCAAGGTAAAGCAAGAAAATGTATTTGATCTGCGGCGGGCTAAATTCAGTGGTTATGAGCATGACGTAAAAACTTGACATTTACCCCAATAGCAAATCCGGCATGCGTTCTCGCAGAGCCTTTCAGCACGAATGGTGCATTTGCTTACCGAGAATAAGTCAAAAGTACCGAGAATATGTCAAATAAGTGACCCGTTATGACGCCGACGTCACGTGGATTGAATCCTTCAGACTGAACTTACGTGCTTTAGGCTTTTGATTGCAGAAGCAAATAAGCCTACTCTTTAAATATCCTAAAAAACTGCTTTTCTAGTCAGTGACATGGTGACAAACCATAATATCACTGAAAGCGTGGCAAGAGCCGGCACCAATGGGTTGAAATTCAACCAATGCACAGTGATGACCGCGTATTTTGCAAGTATGCAACCGGTTTTTAAATATTGTAGCGTGGACTGGACGAGGACGGCCAGTTCTCGCACGGCGCGGGGCGATCGAGTGCAGCATAAGTTTCTTATTTGTTTACAATTTACGGGCGAACAGCGCCTCTGTCTTATGTCAGCCTTCTCCATCATTTCAAAATTATGTCACTGGCAGCACGATTTGCTCTTTCTGGGAAACATCTTTCAAAGTAAAGTGGACTCTCCAATCTTGCTCAGCTGTTTCTTCTCCTTGTACCGCCTCGATCGACCCGCAGCCAATCTTTGTTTGCTGTACTTCGCGCTCCTGTGCAGACACCACGGAACGGTCTGTTCGGCAGACTGTGAAGCGTAATGAATACCTTTTTCGATAGCAACACCTGGGCGAATATTTTTCATGACAGCTCTGGTTATTTCTAGAGCTCCAGTCATCAACTATGTTTAACTCTCTGGCAACTTCGCTTAGCTTTAAGACACGTCAGCCATTGTTTCTTTTCATACTACCGTGTAATGTGCATCTGTTGTATTTCAATTAAACGGCTTTGCTTGTTAGGTTAGTGCTGATGGGTTGGCGATAAGAGAAAACACAGAAAGATAGAAAGAAGGAAGTAAAAAGGCGAGTAGGCTCTACGCTCAGCCATATCCTTACGGATGGCAGACGTCAGCTTTACGTGGCAGCTCATGGCCCCTTACGGCAAGAGGCTCATGGCAAGAGGCAGCTCATGCCCATGTTCGGGGGGGGGGGGGGCGGGCGGGCGGAAGCGTCACAACTGAATAGGAAAGTACACGCCTGCATCGAAATTTTTTGTTCCATGTGACCATCATTAGGCTGTACCCTTCGCACTTACGACAGAAGCGAGATTACAGATTATTATTTTTTTTTCAAAATGCTTGTCGTTTTTTTCATGTTGTCATTGGGGTTTTCGTCACTTAAGCATGTTGCCATTTTCCTATGTGGTCATTTATTCAAATAAGAGACTGAAAGGAACCCACATTTGCTACACCATCCCAAATGAGGAGTGGTATAGTGTAGCAAAGGCAGCCAATGAGGAGGGGGAACACGTTTCTTTTCACTCGTCCCTTTCGCACTCAGGCCGCCCTCGGCTGGCAGCCTTCTCTTCTCGGGCAACAAATTGCAAACAGTGCGAGAACATCCTCAGGTTTGTTCACACCGTGCATAACCATATCGCCAGATGCCCTGACCTGGCCTCATTGCAATCACAAATGCGTATCAATGAGGACAAATCTCTCCACTCGTCCGTTTCGTGTTCGCGCCGCCCACGGCGGGCAGCCACCTCTGCTCGTGCACCGATTGGCAAAAGGTCAGAGAACTTCATCAGCTTTGTTCACGTTAAGTATCATCCAATCAGCAGATGCGCTGATCTGACCACATTGCAATCACAAATGCGCATCAACGAAGACGAATCTCTCCACTCCTCCGCTTCGCACTCGGGCATCCTTCAGCGGGCGGCCATCTCTGCTCGGGCACAAATTGACAAAGGTCGCGAGCACATGCTCGGCTTTGTTCACATTGTGCATTATCCAATCAGCAGATGCGCTGATCTGACGACATTGTAATCACAAACGCATATCAACAAGGACGCATCTCTCACCTCGTCCGTTTCGCACTTCGGCCGCCCTCACCGGGCGGCAATCTAATCTCGGGCACCGATTGGCAAAAACAATGCGAAAACATGCTCAGTTCGCTCACATTGTACATTATTCAATAAAAAGATGCACTGCTCTGACCCCATTGCTATCACAAATGCAAACCAACGAGGAAGAATCTCTCCACTCGCGCGTTTCCCACTCGGGCCGCCCTCCGCAGGTGGCCATGCCTGCTCGGGTGCCGATTGGCAAAAGGTTCGAGAATATGCTCAGCTTCGTTCACATTGTGCATGATCATATCACCAGATGCGGTGATCTGGGCACATTGCAAACACAAATGCGTCTCAACGAGAACGAATCTCTCCACTCCTCCATTTCGTACTTGGATCGCCCTCGACGGGCGGCCCTCTCTGCCTGTGCACCGAATGGCAAACATGCCGAGAACATGCTTAGCTTCGTTGACATCGTGCATTATCCAGTCAGCAGATGCGCTGATCTGACAACAATGCAATCACAAATGCGTATCAACAAAGAAGAATCTCTCAATTCGTCGATTTTCCACTCGGGTCGCCCTCAGCGGGCGGCAATCTCTGCTCATGCACCGAATTGTAAAAGTTACGTGCACATGCTCAGCTTCGTTCACAACGTTCATTACGTGCCATGATGTGATGTGATACGTGCCAAAGCAAGGTTATTCCATACCAAATTTATTACTATAGCAGTAGGGAAGTGCTCCGTGTGGGTCCCATGTTCTTGCAAGTTTTCTATAAGGCGAGGACAAGCGAAATGACCATGCTAATATCTTAATCAGTTAGCAGTCGACCACCGGTGGCAGCGTGCCGGCTCTCCGCCACGGGGAAGCGCCTGAGACATTCCGCTAATAGATATACGAACGGGAATGGGCGTCCGCGGAAGGCGGCCCGAATGCGAAGTGGACGAGTGGAGAGATTCCTCCTCGTTGGTGTGCAATTGAGATAAAAATGTGGCCAGATCTGCGTATTTACTGACTGAATAATCATGCATGTTATCAGACCATGACAATGACCATGACCTCTTGCCATTCGGTGCACAAGCAAAGATGGCCGCCCGCCGAAGGCGGCCCGAAGGCGAAACGGACGTGTGGAGAGATTCGTCCTCGTTGATACACAGTTGTTGATACACAGTTGTGATCGCAATGTGATCAGATCAGCGAATCTGCTGATTGCATAATGCACCATATGAATGAAGCTGAGCATGCGCTCGCAATCAATCAATCAATCAATCGCAAAAATCAATCGCAAAAATCAATCGCAAAAATCGCGTCGGAATGGACCCAAGAATGAACGTAGCCCTGGACCTCCACCCCATTTCGGTCAGGGGCCGAATGAGCTGAACTGGAATCATCTGCCAATTATCAGACCCCTGTGTCGGTAAGCGATCCTTTGGCACCAGTGAGGCCCCCTGCGTCGATCCAAAATCAACTGCTCTGGTCTGAGGGAGGGGACCAATGCCCGAGAGTTTTTTTGCGGTGGTGTGGTGTAAGGGAAGATAGTTCGGAAAACGCACTGCAGCAGGTGTCCAGTTTATATTTTACACGCCAATCAGTAGCAATTCTGATCCCTAAACATTTGGCAAAGCAGGGCACGCACGGCCGGGCCAGGGCAGTGGCCGCCGACGGTGGACGGTGTAGGGCTCAAATAATTTGTTCCAAAATCTGTCATGTGAATAAAGAGCGGACAAGAACCTCCATCTCTTTCTTCCCCCCGCCCCCTCCCCGGGCACCGGACTTGCTTTCCAGACAAAGTTCCTGAAGGGTATCCTGAGCCTGGCCCCTCCCCTACTTTTTGAAACGTTCGTACGCTTATGGCCTACCATGACCTTGTTCTTTGACTTTGACTTCTTGTTCGACTTTGAACCTCATAAATTATTCCTGGCTTCATGTAGGCAGGCATTTGTACCACCGCGTTCAGCTCATAATTGTAATCCATAACTGTAAGGCGCCTGCACCCCATCCGACGTTGAACATGCAGCGGACTGATGCCATGTCGGAGTCCTTAATATGACTACGGGGGATGCAAGCCACCCGTGGAGCGACAAGGAGGCCATTCGCTGCCGACCGGGCTACTGTTCGGAACTGGATGAATAGTTGTGTTATAAGCTCAAAGTTCTGATGTTGAGTAAGCAACCATCAAAATACCAGGAGATACTGGCTAAACGATATGATGATGCTAAAATAAAGCTAAATAAACATTATTAAAAATAAGGATAATAAATGATGCCGAAAAACCGGGCGCAAAGCGTCGGACTTAATTTCATCGCGTAATTTTTCACCAAGAGTTCAAGACGGTGGCACCGCAGTCGATTCGCAACACCGCGGTGATGTGTGTGCTGTCGTGACGTAGCCACATGGTC